ATCACTGTCAGTGTAAGCGCTCTTTTAGATAAGACTACTTTATAGTTTATACTTTTATACCATTGAATTAAGTCATTGAATGGTACAAGTCTCCATTGTTAATATCAGCATAAATCCAAAGAAGACTAATTAATATTGCAGGATGCTTGGCATTGGTTTGACACAAACAGACTGAATGAGAGCACACTGCTGTTAAGATGTTTTATGCAGAATAAATAGATGCAGTATAGCTTCTCTGTGAGTAGGGGATGTGAGATGTCTTGATCATAACCATTTTTAGCATTTTGCGGTCAGCATGCACGTGGCAGATAACATCACAGTGCTTTTCTGATGTCTCGTTCACCTAACATCCTTCTCCAAAAAAATCTCATCTTTAAGCCAGCTCCAATAGAAATCTTTTCTTATCAGCCACTTTAGAAGAAAGACCTTTCTTTAAGTATTAATGTTCCAGTGTTAGCTCGTGAGTCATCGATTTTCTCCAGGTTTCTCGCTTTTCTTCTTCCTCACACCCCTTGCTTTCTCTTTTTCTCCATGTCTCCTGCTGTGACTCTACTCACTTCTGAACCTCCATTACACACTGAGTGATGGCTGCCACTGTGAAAGTGGCACAGGTCTCTGCTGTGATAGTTACTCTTTCTGCAACACTGTTTGTACCAAAATGCATTCATGCAATTATCAAGAAAATTACCTGAAATTACCATTCCTGAAAGTTTTTGGACACACAATTGACTGTACTTGAAAATGTATTGTCTTTGCCTCATAAACCAGAATATCAAACAAGTGACATTCATTTTAAAGACTTTTAGCACAAAAACCTTTTTTTTTTTTTTATAAAAAATGTCAAAGGTTTAGTTCTGAGATAAGCTCTGTTTTCACTGGTGTTCCTCAGGGGTCAGTCTTGGCCCTTTAATTTTTTATATTTATCCGTCACCACTTGGCCATCTCTTGAGATCGCTTGGCCTCCATTATAATTTGTATGCTGACGATACACAGATTTATATACATTCAAAACCTGATGAGCACCCTGACACTGCTTTTCTTTCTGACTGTATTATGGAGATAAAAACATGTATAAGTTATAATTTCCTGTGTCTGAACAGTGGTAAAATCAAAGTCATGCTCATTGGGTCCTGTCATCAAATTTCTAAAGCTGGTTCTCTGGAAATCCAGAATAGAGTGAGGAACCTTGGAGTTATTTTTTGATGCTAATCTGTCAATCGATTCTTTTGTTCAGAGTACTGTTAAAACATCTCAAGATTGTGTCCTATGCAAAATTTTACTGTAGCAGAAATGCTGATAAATTCCTTTGTCATCTCTTGGATAGATTATTGTAACAGCCTTTTAGCTGGAGTTTCTAAGTCCACACTAAACAAACTGCAATATGTACAAAATTCGGTCGCCAGGATCTTAACTGGGTCCAGGATATGCAACCATATTACTCCAGTTTTAGAATCCTTGCATTGGCTCCCAGTCAGGTTAAGAGTTGATTTCAAAATTATGATTTATTTAACAGAACTGTTACATTCCTTACACTCCTAATCGCAGATTACGCTCCTCACAGTCAAACTTGCTGGTGGTTCCTCTAACACGCTTGAGATCTATGGGTGATAGGGCATTCTCTTCCTATGCTCCCGCCCTTTGGAATTCTCTGCCTCTTGAACTTAGGGAAGTTCAGACCTATGGCATTTTTAAAGTTCAACTTAATACATATTTGTTGATGCTTATTTTTTCATTTACTTTTATTGTCTTTCATTTTATTAATTGCATTGTTTATATTGTGTAGAGCAGTGTTTCCCAACCTTTCTTTAGTCGTGGCACCCTTTGGAAATTTTAACAAATTTGTGGCACCCTACAAAATTAATTTTGTCACAATATTTGAATTTCTAACTTCGATATGATACTTTGAAAAGTATAGATATTCGGTACAGTAGGGAAGAACTGCAGAATATACTGTCATACAGATATTTTTAATATTATAAAAAGAAATGTGTCTATCAATGGTGGCAATCAGTAGGCTAATTTCTAATGAAGAGACCAATTTATATGACAGATTTTAATGTAGGCTTTTATTCATATGTAAACATTGTGAGATAGCAAGTTATAGTGGTAATTAAACAAAGTTTTGCTCACTTAGTGTATTTTTGATTTTACAGTTTACAGTGATTTAAGACTTTGAATTGAATAAAAAATGACAAGGAGACTAAGCAGTTAATAATAAAATAAGAACAAATAAAGAAATTACTAATGATAGCACAAATAAAAAATAACAATAGGCCTACAAATGAAATAAATTGCTTTTTAGTTTTTCAGGTAGGTCTAACACACAGTAGGGCTATTAAGAGATTTTTTTTTTTACCAATTATCCAAATAATGTTTAATCCTAGAAAGCTATTATTATCAGAGGACACGTGAGCATAACGGTTAGCAGATCAATGAATGAGAGGGCAGCATTACCAGAGTTGCCCATTTACCACTTGTTGTTACAGCACAGTAGGGCTATTGCAAACAGAAACAATACTGTACTACATCGATGTTTCCTGTCAGCTCGATTTTTGAGTGGACTTTGCTGTTCCGATGAGCATGAACGGTATATGAGTGGAGCACTCACATGGGCCGTAAGCGACTGAGCGGAGCGCACACGCATAGAGCGGGATAATTATACGCAGAGCGTCACACCATGTGAAAGTGAATCCGGAGCGGTGAACTAATTTTCGGCAGCCGGAATTTCAGTGCATCTCTAATTATTGGCGACATCAGAAATGGATATTATATAATAGCTGCTTTTATGAACATTTTAGCAATTTAAAAATATAAAAAAAAGATTTTTTTACACTGCACCCTGGTTGGGAAACACTGTTCTAGATTATGAAATGCCTGCTGACAGCGCAGTTTATCTATGCATTTACA